TTACTGAAGGATTCCAAAATTCTTGATAATTTCAAGACAAGAGGGTCAGGTATGGGTGAAAATTTTGCATTACAAATGGTTCTAACTCTTCAAGAACAACTTAAGGAGAAAATGGAGTGCATCAAGCAAGTTCCAGGGATCACGCCCGTGATCAAGAAAGTCAACATGGAAAAGTACTCGCAACAACCATGGAAGCACAATGCAGTTCCCGTGGCAATTAAAAATGCCAGACATTCTTAAGTAAGATGGAATGTTAAATCCAAAAGACTGCATCATGGCCTATACAACTGGCATCAAGGGAAATTACTTGACCAAAATAAAAATCGAATCAGTCCTTGTCAAGAAGTTTGGTGAAACCTAACAAATGGTGCCTTGACCTGGTATTCTCATCTCCCAGCAAATTCCATTAACTCTTTTGCTGAGCTTGTAGATGCATTTCAAAAAGCCTATATCGAGGCACAAAAGGTGGAAAAACATATGGAAGATATCTTTAAGATAGTTGAAAGGGAGAACGAGATGATTTAAGGCTTTATTGAATAGCTCCAGAGGGAGAGGATGTTGTTGCCTCGATACTAGATAATTAGGCCACCACTGCCTTTGCCTAGAACTTGAACGAGATGAGTTCTAAAGATACAATGAATCTAAAAGAAACCCTCCGAGAATTTGTGCAAACGACTTGGAACGATTTCAATAACCATTACCACACCAAGCTTCGGGTTGAAAAAGATTCGCACATATTCCTCGACTACTAAAATCGGGAAGCCCATAGAAGCATGAGTTCTGAGATAGCACCCAGGCTTGTTGAACTTGCCATAGGAAATACCAGAGGCCGATACGAGCCCTATCATGGTCTCTCTAGACGGAGACATGATAGGAGGCTAGAACCAACACGGGACCACAAGCGCAGCGACTGCAAAAACGCTAGGGGACTTCCTAGAAGGGTAAGGAACCAGAGATATTGCAAAACAGTGATCATCATTTTAGACCCAAATTGGATGTTTACAACTTCAAAATTAACACCACAGAGTTGGTAGCAGTACTTTGAGATATGGGAGACAAAGTGAGATGGCTAAAAGAAATAAGGGCAGATCCCAGCAAAAGAAGCCAGGCCCATTTGTGTGAATTCCACGGAGATAATGGCCATAAAACTAGAAAATACAAGGCCTTGTGGGGCGATGTGGATCGGCTCCTCAAGATGGGTTACCTTTGGAGCTTTTTAGTGAAAAGTCCAAGAAATACTATATGAAAAACAGGAGTAATGAAGAACCGCCCTGGGCTCTGCCTCCAAAATTGGTGGTCAATGTCATCTTCTAGGCAAATAGGTGAACGGTGTCACATATAGAGCCTCGAGTCAGGTTTCACGCATTTCTATCTCAGAGTGGACATTCGGGCCGTTGAATAGACGAAATTGCTTTCAGCTCTGATCATTCTGTCTTGGTTTGCTGCAAAATGTGGTCTGGTACTTGTTTTGCGGTTGATACTTTGATGTAGGCCTGCTTTAGTTGATCCGGGTAGTTTGCGACGACTATGCGGTCCGGATATTAGTTGTGGATCGGATCGTTACCGCATTTTTACCTCTGATTTGGCTGCACGCTGACTGCCCTTCATGGCCTCCACGACTGGCGGCCAGCCTCCTCCTGAGGTTGGTCCGTCGTCTCCCTCCCCCCTTCAGTTTTTTGGAACCTTTGATTCTTGATTTAGATGCTTATCCAGTACAACGTGTCTGAGTTTGTTATACGTGCTTCATAGTTTTGCGTGCAAGTTTTAGTTGCGTTACAGAAACCAGTTGAGTTCCTTCATGGAGAACCAGTTGTGAAGTGGAAGAAACAAGAAGTGAAGCAATCCATCGTACAACAAGGGCTTCAACTTGCAGTTCTTGGGAAATTTCATATGGGAAGCCTGTTATTGGTGAATTACGTAAAGTGATTCCAATTCAATGTGAGATTAAGGGTCATTGTTGAGTTGGCTTGATTGAAGACAATCATGTGTTAATTAGGTTGTCTTTATTGGAGGATTATGTTCATCTTCTCTCAAAGCCAGCTTTTTATTTAAACGTTCAATCAAACATGTGTCAGATGCGTTGTACAAAGTGGAATCCATGGTGGACACCTGATGAAGAGACTCCAATTGCCATAGCGTGGATTAGTTTTCCAGAACTTCCTCCAAATTTCTTTGGTAAGGAATGTGTATTTTCATTAGCTCGTGCAGTTGGTAATCCATTACATGTAGACCTAGCAACTCAAAATGGGACTAGACCTAGTTGTGCTAAGGTAAAGGTGGAAGTGAATTTGCTAGGTAATTTCCCTAAACGTATTAAGATTGTTGAAGAAGCTGATGAATCTGGGCCAGAAGAGTTCAAATGGATTAGGATTAAGTATGATTATATGCCTAAATATTGCAAGCCTTGCAAGAAACAAGGGCATAGTGAGGCAGAATGTTGGGTAATTCATCCTGAGTTACACAAGAGATTTGACGAAGATGTTGAGGATCAAGGCAAGGAGAAGACAGTTGTGGTGAGTACTGAAGCAATTGGTACAGCTGCAAATTCAACAAAGGTTCTATCAAGTGGAAAGGTGGTTGGTAAGCCTGCTACTAATCATGCCAAGCAGGAATGGATACAAGCAAGGAAGAACAAATACCAACGGGATAATAGGGGTCACATTGTTGATAATAAACAAAGTAAGGAAGCTAACAAGGGTAAAGGGAAGGCCAAACTTGAGGAGGTAGAAAGCAAGAACAATTTTAATGCATTAGAGATTGAGGAAGTTCATCAACCTATTCTACAAATTACTGAAGGCAAATGTGAGGATCATAGCAATGGTAAGGAGAAGGAACATGGGGAAAATCAATCAAAGAAGGGCTATGAGAAGGAAAAAGAAGGCATTACCGGAGCTTCAAGCCCTAATCCTACTAATACTAAACCAAGCGGAGAAGTAAATCAACAAGAACTTAAGCGTGTGAAGAAGGAAGCAGTGAAGAAAGTGTTGGAAGATCAGCATAATGGGAACTTAGCTAAGGCTAATCCTATTGTTCCTAGTGATCAAAGTACTGACGAAAAGGCTAATAAGGAATCCACAATCTGCTGGGTTCATAGAAGGTTTGGAACTAGCAAAGAGGAGCTAAGGCAACTCAATGTGACTACAAACCAATCATATCAAGATATGTCGTCTCAAACATTTGCAGATTCTGGGCAGCTTGAGAACCTTGGTGAGATAAACTCAACAAAGGCTGTAGGGAGTGATGCTTGAGGTAGATGATGATCAAATAGGCACGACCAAGTCAATAGGAGACAAAGTGAGGGACAACAGGCCACCTGGTGATAGGTTGGCGACGCCAGGCCTAAAGCTAGGCTCCCCAGGCCTTAGTCTGGCGACGCCAGGCCTAAAGCCAGGTACCCCAGGCGTTAGGCTGGCGACGCCAGGCTTGGTGCCAGGGTCACCTGATGAAGCAATGATAGTTAATCTTGTCACTAGTGCAACTGGCAAGATTTTGTCATATGTAGATGGTGTTCCGGTGTATGCATTGGAGAACGAACTTGATGATAATGTGAAGGTTAGTGATGATACAGGAGGATTGGAGAATAACAGTTAAAAGAATGATGAGCACGCAATTGTTCCAAGAGCATCTGGGGAAATAGAGGATGTGCCTATGGAATATGGCACTGATCAAATTATGTAGTTGCAGCTTAATGTTCCACTGAAGACTCCACTGTAGCATCTACATGATTTAGTTACACACAATGTGGCACCAATTGATGAAGACTTAATGAGATAAAATCCTATGGAGGATGAGGGAGATGATGAATCAACAGAAGAAAATTTCAAACAGGTGGCTAGGGATGGGGATCTATCACCTACAGCTAGTGCTAAAGGAGGCAAGAAAACAAAGAAGAATCAGAATAAAGAGTCACAACAACATTTAAGAATTATGCCCAGGAGGGCAGCTTCTCTATCTAAATGATGATCAAAACATTAATATGGAACATAAGGTCTGTGAATACACAGCAGGCCTTTCCTAGGGTGATCAACATGAACAGGGAGCATAACTTTTGTGTAGTTGCATTGATGGAACCTTTTCAAAAGAAAAGATTCATTGATAGATATAGAAGAAGGTTGAATATGGAGACGGCTTATGCAAATATTAATGGGAAAATATGGTTGTTCTTTGATGCAGTGGTGGAATGGGAATTAGTGGAGGATACTGAGCAACAGGTGACTGTGAGAGTGCTTCACCATGACCTAGGGCAACACATGATGATGACATTTGTTTATGCAAAATGTTCAGCAATTGAGAGGTTGGAATTGTGGGATCACTTGTATTGCTTAGGAAGTGATATGAAATTGCCATGGTTGGTAGGAGGGGATTTCAATGTGATATTACATAAAGATGAGAAAATAGGAGGACTACCGGTACACCCTCCTGAATATGAGGATTTTGCATTTTGTGTAAATTATTGTGGTTTGTTCTAGCAAGGATACAAAGGAAGTCCATTTACATGGTGGAATGGAAGATCAAATGTTGCGTGTATATTCAAAAGATTGGATAGGATATTTGTGAATTTGCCATTTCAGAACATGCTTCCAACTATTGAAGTTGAACGTCTAATCAGAACTGGATCAGATCATGCACCATTGTTTACGACGTGTGGGGAGCAAACCACCAATTTTATCAAGCCTTTCAGGTTCTTGAACTTTTGGACTAAACATACTACATTTATGGATGTGGTGAGGCAGAATTGGGAAGCTGATTTCATAGGGGATCCGTTTTTTATGTTCAAGTAGAAGCTCAAGAGGGTGAAGGCAGCACTGTCGAAATGGAGTAGGGAAACATTTGGTGATATCTTCAAGCAATTGGCTATTTTGGAGGACATTGTTAGGGTCAAAGAGATGTTTTCTGAAGAATAGCCTTCAATTGAAAACAGGATTGTGCTTCAAAAGGCACAATCTGAATTGAAGAAATACTTGAGTATTGAGGAGCAGTATTGGAAGTAAAAAGCTGGGATGACTTGGTTTGCTGAAGGAGATAGGAATACAAGTTTCTTTCACAATCATGTCAATGGCAAAAGAAAGAAACTACAATTGAAGAGGATCAAAAGTGGAAGTGGGGTATGGATTGAAGACCAGGAGCAATTGGCTACAGCTGCAGTGGACTTTTATCAAGAACAGTTCACAAATGAAGGTGATGCATCTGACATTTCCTTGCTCATAATGTACCTTCGATGGTCACTATGGAACAGAATTTGGAACTTAGTAGATTTCCAACAGTTGAAGAGGTAAGGACAGCAGTTTTTGAACTTAGTGGGGAGAGTGCTAGTGGTCCAGATGGATTCACTAGCCTCTTTTATCAAACATGCTGGGATGTTATTGGTACTGATATACACAACATGGTGCTACACTTCTATGGAGGAGCTGCATTGCCTAAATCCATCACCCACACCAATTTAGTGTTGCTGCCTAAGAAACCTAGAGTTGAGACCTTTTCTGACTTAAGACCTATTCGCTTGAGCAACTTCATTAACAAGGTCTTGTCTAGAGTGTTACATGATAGATTGGAAATTTTTTTGCCTTCTTTAATATCTCCTAATCAATCCGCATTTGTGAAAGGTAGGAGTATATTTGAGAACATCTTATTGACTCAAGAAATTGTCATTGACATAAGGTTAAGGGGAAAGCCAGCTAATGTGGTGATCAAGCTTGATATGGCTAAGGCTTATGATAGGGTTTCATGGAAGTACTTATTGCATGTACTAACGAAAATGGGATTTTCTGAGCACTTCATCAATATGGTGTGGAACTTGATGTCAAATAACTAGTATTCAATATTGGTGAATGGGCAGTCATCAGGGTTCTTTAAGTCTACAAGGGGTGTGAAGCAAGGGGATCCTCTATCACCAGCATTGTTCATTCTATCAGGTGAGGTACTTTTCAGATCTTTGAATAAGCTATTTGAAGACAGGTCATTTGTGGGATTTGGAATGCCTAAGTGGTCTGATCCTTTAAACCACTTGGCATATGCTGATGATACTATAATCTTTGCTTCTGCTCATCCTCCATCCTTGAGCAAGATTATGGCAGTGTTGGGGAACTATGAGAAGATATCAGGCCAGATGATCAACAAAGATAAGAGTCCATACTACATGTATTCCAGGATTTCTAATTGATTGTGTCAGGCGGTTGGAGCTATTACAGGATTTACAAAAGGTAAATTCCCCTTCACATATCTAGGTGTCCTGTTTTCTACACTAGAAGGAGGAAGGAATATTATGAAGATTATCAAGAAAGTAAAGGCTAAATTGCATTCATGGAAAGGAAAGTTGCTGTCATTTGGAGGAAAGGCAACATTCATTACTAGTGTGTTGCAAAGTATGCCAGTCCACATGTTATCAGTCCTGCATCCACCAAAAAATGTCCTGGAGCATCTTCATAAGATTTTTGCTAGATTCTTTTGGAGCACAAAGGAAGAAGGGAGAAGCAGACATTGGGCCTCATGGCAAAATCTTTGCCTTCCTAAAGAGGAAGGAGGCCTAGGTTTTAGGTCCTTACATGATGTGTCGAGGGCATTGTTTGCTAAACTATGGTGGATTTTTAGGACCACAAAATCTTTGTGGTCTAATTTCATGTGGAATAAGTATTGCAAGAAGGAGATACCAACGGTGGTGCAGTTTAGAAGGGGGTCTAATGTTTGGAGAAAAATGTTGAATGCTAGGGAAGAAGTAGAACATGAGATCCTATGGGAATTCAAGAGTGGAACAACTAATATTTGGCATGAAAATCGGACTGGATTGGGTGTACTTTATCATGTATTACCTGAGGACTTTCCAATCAATGAAGATCTTCAGGATGTGGCAGAATTACGGCAAGGTGAAACATGGGATGATCAGCTTCTAGATCAAACCTTCAATGAGGAAATTGCAGAACATATAAGGCTAAATGTACATTATGAAGGCAGTGAGGGATACTGGATAGGCCATACTGGATGCCAACTCCTTCAGGCAAGTTCAGTGTAAGCAGTGCTTGGCAAATATTAAGGCATAGAGCTGATCCTAATCAGGAATTCAAGTTAATATGGATTAAAGGCTTACCATTTAAGATATCCTTCTTCTTGTGGAGATTGTGGAGGAAGAAAATAGCCACTGATGACATATGGAGGAGGCAAGGGCAAATGGTGATGTCTAGGTGTTGGTGTTGTCAGCAGCCCCAAGAGGAATCTATTGAGCATATATTAATCACAAGTCCTACTGCCTCTAAAGTATGGAACTTGTTCATGGGGGTTGCTGGAATTACTGTGCCACCGATTCAATTGAAGCAGGTTATAAGGCATTGGTGGTATGCTCAATGTTGTCCAAAGCTAAAGCCATTGTTTCAAGCAGTACCGGCTATCATCACTTGGGAACTTTGGAAGAGAAGAAATGCAGGTAAACATGGGGGTTCAGTGTCGACAAATAGGGTGATTCATGAGATCAATAGGACATTGCATCAACTGGCAAGGGTGAGGTATGCTTGGATGCCTAATATTCCATTGTTATGGCCAGACATAATTCAATATTTTGAAGGATATAAACCTATATTGATCACTACAAGAGTAACATGGCAGCGTCCTTTTTGTGGTTGGTACAAATCCAATACTGATGGAGCCTCAAAAGGAAATCCTGGCCTAGATCATTAGGCTTTTGTGTGAGGAATGATGAAGGTGATGTGGTGTATGCAAGGGCAGTAGACCTGGGAGTGACTACTAATGTGGTGGCTGAAGCTAAGGCTATTCTTCAAGGATTGGAATATTGTGTGGAGTATGATCTTCACCCTCTCATATTGGAGACTGATTCATTAGTGATGAAGAAAGTGATAGAAGGGGAATGGGATACTCCTTGGTTAATTACAAATGATGTGAAGAAAATTAGAGAGATGAAGGGCAACTTCAATGTGATCTTTCAACATGTGTTCAGAGAAGGCAACTCAGTGGCGGACTTTATAACTAACATTGTTTTCTCTTTTGCAGGTATATCTGAGTTCCACTCATTCTCTGAACTGCCTAGTGCAGGGAGGAGGTTGATTAATTTAGACAAGTCTCAAACTCCTAACCTTAGGGTTGGAATAGCAAAAAGAAGAGCCCCAGACTGATGGCTTCACGGGATTGGAATCTGCATATACCTGCTTGTTTCTTTTATGTCTCGTTCTGTATGCTATTAAGGTACTTTCCAGTGGTATTAGCATGGTCACATGCTCATTCTGGGGGTGCTTTGATAGTGTACAGGACCAATGTGATAAGCAGGTATTGGATGGTGCAATTTATTCTACTTCTAATATGTTCAAATGTTAAGGAAAAGGTTGAATCTGTTATGTGGAACTTTTGGAGATTGTTGAATCATTTATCAGTGGTATTAGCATGTCTTCATGTTCAATCTGAGGATGGTTTATCAATGTTTAGAATGATTTCTACATTAAAGGTTCGGGAAGAGAAGGATCTAAGCTTACAAGAACATAAAATCACCCAGCTCCACAGGCCTGGCGGCACCAGGCTAAAACCTGATGATACCCTAGCGTCGCCAGCTTAAAGCCAGCCCTGGCCTGGCATTTGCCTTGCAAAGCCTGCTTAAAGCCATCCCCAGCCTAGCTTTTGCCCGCAAAACCTGCTTAAAGCCAGCCCCAGCCTAGCTTTTGCCTTGAAAAGTCTGCTTAAAGCCAGCCCCAGCCTGGCTTTTGCCTTGAAAAGCCTGATTAAAGCCAGCCCCAGCCTGGCTTTTGCCTTGAAAAGACTGGTTAAAGCCAGCCCCAGCATGGCTTTTGCCTTGAAAAGCCTGCCTAAAGCCAGCCTCAAGACATGTGTAGCCATGCTTTTTACATGATATTATTGAGGATCGACCACATGATTTATACTTGGATACAATTAGTACACTGCATATGGAGATCATATTGTAGCAACACTAATGATTGGAAGACTATGCTGGCTTCAATTCTGTGGTGGAGATGTTTGGAGTTCATTCTAGCCTATGGACTGGATACACTGGCGCCTGGTGAGAGCTTGATAGGTGTTGCTTAGTATTTGCCACTGGCAATTGGATTCACATACACTGACAGGAGAAGGAAGCATTCAGCCGAAATGTTGTAATAGCTAGTTCATTAGACTTTAGCTTTTCTATCTTTTTAGTAGCTAGTAGCTTCGTGCAACTTCTATTTTGGTTTAGACACCTTGTAAGCTTTGGACCCATTCTGGGGTTTTATTTATATATTAGCCACTAGGCAGCCTGCCTAGTGGTATATTTACTAAAAAACTTCAGTAAGATGACCAAAGGTGATATCACTTTGATGACCTTTGCGGAAGGGGTAACCAAGGAGACCCCATTCCAAGTAGTAGCCAGACATATAGCCTACAATGCCATCCTAGGAAGACCATGGATATGTGACATGGATGCAATACCTACAACCTTGCACCAAGTGATAAAATTACCTTCACCATGGCGATTAGGGAGATTCAAGAAGAGTAGAGAGTCGCCCGGGAAGTTAATTCAATTGAATCTGCCAATAACCTCCCCAAGGAAAATAGACAAATATAGCAACATGTTTTGGAGTAAAGTGAGTTCCTGAGGATCAAATCGTCGAACTAGAAAAGGCCAATATGGCAGATTCAACTACTGAAGAGTTGGAGAAAGTGATTATCTTCATTCATTGGCCGGAAAGGAAGGTCTACAATGGTTTGGGACTGGCCCCCAAATAGAAACGTAAGTTAATTGAATTTTTACGTGCCAACAAAGACTGAGCTTGGTCCCATGTAGAAATGAAAGGGATCCCACCGTATGTAATGACACATAAACTGAATGTCAACCCAAATTTTTGTCCGATCGAACAGAAAAAGAGAGGTAAAATATCTAGATTAGCTAACTAATGTTTTGGTGGTACCCAAAAAGAACAGTAAATGGAGGGTATACATTGACTACAAGGACTTCAATAAAACCTACCTGAAAGATTCCTTCCTTGGGTCAAATATAGACTAACTTATTGCTGCCAGACATAAGCTGTTGAGTTTTCTAGATGCCTATTCCGGTATAACCAGATAAAAATGGATTCGGTGGATCAAGAGAAAACTTCCTTTATAACTGATCAGGGGACATATTGTTATAATGTTATGTCATTCAAATTAAAAGCTCTGGTTGATAGATAGTCTAGAGTTTCGCCTTGTTTAATAGTAGTAGTAGTAGTAGTAGTAGTAGTAGTAGTAGTAGTAGTACTAGTCGGGTATTCTCTTATTCCTAGTCTCTTGTTTTTATACAGTGTGTCATTATTATCAGTAGGATTGGCACTATTCTTATAGTTTCGTACCCCTGGATCTCTTTTATTACTTGTTGTATTATTTGCTTCCATTGTCTTATTACCTCATTGTTGCTATTATTTCTCTATTGCTTCATTTTTACTGTTCTTGAGTCGAGGGTCTTTCGAAAATAGCGTCTCTACCTTCACAAGATAGGGGTAAGGTATACGTATACACTACACTCCCCAGACCCCACTCGTGAAATTTCACTAGGTTTGTTGTTATTGTTGTTGTTGCAAAATATTAAAGGCTCGTCCCCCGAATGTTCAAATATTACATTGGAAAGTTCATGGAAGTCTACATTGATGAACATGGAATGACTGAGCAGCGGAAGGTTGCCTTCGCGTGAGATATCTTCGAGGGATAGCTCATTTCCAAGAGATTGAAGCAGTATCGCAGAGAAGCACTACGAGGATGGCTCCGGAGATTCATCAATGGAGCTTCTGGAGACTTGCTTGGTCCTCAACTGTCTTCGTAATATTCAGGTTCCCCTCATATCCACTATGCCTGGCGCTTATCCCACAACTGGTGTGTATCTCGGTAGTCAATAAACACCTAGAGCAACATGAGGAAGTTAGATTAGGGTTGTGAATGATAGGCTTAGGCTATAAATATCTTTACTTCTCTCACTTGTGATTCATTCTGATTTGGCTCCACTCATTGCTATAAACAATTATACTTCGCTCTAGTCAAGCTTGGCGATTGATCTTTACTTTACAGCATCGTGGCTCATAAGCAAGCTCAACAAGATTATTTTTTCCTTTGTTTACCTACTTTAGTCGCATTGTTATAGTCATTTATTGCTTACTTAGTCTATATAAACGAATTATTCAACTAAGCTTTGATTTGAACCAATTGTCAATGACCTCATTAAATATAAATCCAATTGTTTTATCTGAAACTATATTTGGGTTAAACAGATACATTGTTGAGATATATATATATATATATATATATATATATATATATATATATATATATACAGCGAGATACATTATTTACATATTATATATAGTGTATATGTATGTATAATAGTGTATACAGGTGTATATATATAATGTATATATAATTTATACACTTTTATACATCATGTTATATAGATTTTAAAAATAAAAAATAAAATAATATTGAGTTTTTTACGGTATCTCGGGGGAGACGGTAAAAACATAACACCGAACGAGATTTGGCTTCATGAAATTCAATGTAAACATAGATTGGCTAATATAGATGTAAAAATTTATTGGGCTACGCTCGCTATAAACTATTTGTTTTGGTTGTATATATGGGTAAGTATTGCAATAAACATAGAATCGTGAATTCGTTTCCCCGTTAAGTTTTCTTGTAGAAATGACATGGGTAGCCATTCTAGAGAGCTATATTAGAAATTAGCCAATGTGTCCTGAATTTTAGTTTTTAAGTTTAATTTTCAGGATACAAAGTCATGAAGTTAAGATTTTCAATTTAAATTTTTAGGAGAAAATAAGTATTGATTAATCCCTAATAGCAATTTTAAATTGGCTATTTGTGTACTACCCCAATATTTTTGATGTATGACCCAAAGAGATTGAGAAAGAAAAAATGCTAAACGAAAGAGTGGGTCCAATCACCAATGTGGGAGTGGGAGGTAAATATAATTGTTCAAACTAGATGGGGGTCTTGCAACTATCATAAACAAGAGGGTGGATGCAATAAATACGCAGTTTCTCGGTTTGCCTCTCAACGCATTCCTCGGTTTGCGAGACAGAAACTGGATATTATAAGAGCCTAATTTGCGATAATAGGATAAAAAGAAAATAAAAAAGAATCAAGAAAAGGAAAAAGGAAGTGTTGATCAGAAAAAATACCTTAAGCCTCTTTTCTCTGTTGTATCTTTCAGGTAGGTATCTATCTGATCTCACCATTAAATTTCCACTAGACCCATCTGAAGCAGAAAAAAATCAATTGAAGTAGTTGCTGTAAGGTAAATAGCTAAAGGGGTTTTAATCTTTAATCATTTTTCTCGTTCTACTTCTTTGAAATTTGTTATATTTCCTTAGTCTATCAGTTTTTGGCTTTTGTGATGCTTCTTCTGATGACCCTTTTGAGCTGAAAATGACTCAATTTTCAAGAATTCAGAAATCCACTTGAAAATTATTAAAGATAGTGTTTTTACGATACCCACAATGCTAATTTCAAGACTCTTCCCTGATTAAAGTGGAAACGCAAGAAAACTAAGGATGGGTGCTGTATTTGTAGCTATTTAAAAGCTGGGAGCTTTTTGGGTACTTTCAAATATTTGTTTCTTTAATCCATTTTCCGTGAATTGTTCGTTAGATTGTTGATTTGTTTGTTTGTTTGTTTTGTGTGTTTGTATGTGTGTCCTATGCCTTCAGTGTGACCTTAAGTCATTTAAACTTCTGAATGGGGAATTTATTTGGTCACGACCTGACAGTATGATTGAGTGTTAAAGGGCAGCTCGGTGCACTAAGCTCCCGCTATGCGCGAGATCATGGGAATGGCCAGATCACATTTTGTCTAGCGGAATGGCCGGATCCCATTTTACTATACACAACCTTACCTTGCTTATTTGCAAGGGTTGTTTTCACGGCTTGAATAAGTGATCTCCTAGTCATACGACTACAACTCTTACAAAGTTTGGTTTATTACATGGATGGAGATGGATTAATCAATGTCTGTGGACTTTTAGGGGTCATTTGGTTCAGTTTTGGGATATGCCATTGGATTATCTATCCCACCTCCTATATGGGATAGCTAATTGCACCATTTTGATATAAAATTTAAATCAGTATTAGCTAATACCCACAACCAAATATGGGATAACTATAATCCCAATTTTATACCGGGATTAATATCCTTATCCTGGTAACCAAACGACCCCTTAGGATAATGCTACGATGCATGCTCCAATATAAGTTAAGGAAACTAATTTACACTTACCATTTCAACAAAAAGAAAAGTCAAGGAAGATATTTGTAAAACATCATTGCCATTGAGTTCCATGCACGCACGATTGCGAATTTTGTCAATGTTCTTTCAAACTGCGATTTTCCCCAACTGGTGTTTTGGGAAAAGTAGAACTTAGAAGCATTGGCAAAATACATGGCTCCCCTTTTGGGAAGGGAAATAGATGGGATTTCACAAGGTTCTTTGAAAGTGACATTAGGTGAATGAGAATAGAGATTTATTGCTTTCTAATTTGTATACCATTGGCACTGCTTATGTATTTAAGCACTGTGCCAAATGGTAGTCTGATACTATATTTTCTTGCCTCTTCAAAATTTTTCTAACATGGTATTGGATCTAGATTGTGTCAATACCAGATGGCTCTGTTAAGGTAGTAGAGCTTTTACTTTGTTGCTAAGTATATATAATGAGGAAACAGAATAAGTGAAAATCAGTTGAGTCAGAATTCTTATCTTAATTCATTAATGTTCGTATTTTACGGTAAATCTCATTGTACAATGTATTCATTTACTGCCTTATGGTCAAACTGCTGGATTACCTACTTCGCTATAGGGCTAATTCTTGTTCTTCAGATCAGTTGGCTTGAGACGGGAAGAAGTGGCGTGTCAATTATTCTTGTTTGGTAAACCTGTGTTATTTGTGAAAAAGGTGTGGATAACTTTGTGAGCCTTTTACAGGTTATTCCATCAAGATGAAACCTGTTTGCCCTTTTGTTAGAGCTTCCAGACCTGATGACACTTCTATTAAGAAGCCTGGTGAAAACCAAAATAAACTGCCGGCTAGTCAGGAGAGCAAGCCTAAACAAGAGTCTGGAGAATCTGCAATTGTGTCACCTAAATGCCCCTTTGGATATGGCCAGGAGAGCAAGCCTAAAGAAGAGTCGGGAGAATCTGCAGTTGTGTCACCTCAATGCCCCTTTGGATATGGCCAGGAGAACAAGGCTAAACAAGAGTCTGGAGAATCTGCAACTGTGTCACCTAAATGCCCCTTTGGATATGATTCTCAAGCATTTAAGCTGGGTCCTTTTAGCTGCATGATTTGTCAGGCACTTCTTTATGATTGCAGCAGATGTGTGCCCTGTTCTCATGTATTCTGCAAGTAAGTGAAAATTGAGACCTCTTACTGTCTTTCTACTTCCATGCATGCATGTCATTTCCCCCTTTAAAATCAAGAAAGGGAAATTTTTTATCTGGTCACTTCTCAATAACGCCACCTGATGGTTGCTGTTTGGTAAAACAGAGCATGTCTCTCGCGCTTTAAGGACTGTCCTTTATGTGGTGCTGATATCGAAAAGATACAGAGTGATATGAATCTTCAGAATGTTGTTGATCGCTTTATTGAAGGGCATGCAAGGATTAAGAGGTCTCAGCTTAATGGTGACGAAGAAGAAGCAGGAGAGAGGAAAACAGTTATGTACGAGGATGTATCACTAGAACGGGGAGCTTTCCTGGTACAGCAAGCCATGCGGGTAACTTTTTAAATATCTTGTCATTCTCTCGAGTGAAATAGCCTGACATTTCTTCACCAGTTACTAAGCTGATATTAACCTGTTCTTTTCTCTTTCCTGCAAGCTCTGACGTTTAGCTAGTGAATTGTTTCACCACTTTGAGTAACTGTTGGCTTTTTAACCTGCAGGCTTTTCGTGCCAATAATATCGATAGTGCAAAATCAAGACTTACTATGTGCGCAGATGATATTCGAGGGGAGCTAGAAAGGCTGGGAAATACGTCGGAGTTGTGCTCACAGCTTGGAGCGGTCCTTGGTATGCTTGGTGATTGCTGGTGTGTCCTTATCCTTGTTATCAACTTATGCCCTTTCTTTGGTCATTTAATAAGATCTTCAAGTGATCATGGGTAGCAAAGACTTTAACCGATCATTAGAAGTTTTGCACTTTAAAAAAAAACAACTTGATTTGTACTGCAGTCGAGCAACAGGGGATGCTGCATCTGCAGTCACTTACTTTGAAGAGAGTGTCAATTTCCTTGTGAAAGTGCCCAAAGATGATTTAGAGGTAATAGTCGAAAAGTGATATGTACTTCTATCTGTATATGTAATCTGAGCTCTCGACATCTAAAGCAACATGATATATCACATACTTCTTCATACATGACTGTGTTTTCCTTAATTCCGTGTGGATGTTTGCAGATCACACATACTCTTTCTGTTTCGCTAAATAAAATTGGAGATCTGAAGTACTATGATGGTGATTTAGAAGCTGCAAGATCACATTACTTTAAGGCGTTGGATGTTCGCCGCAATGCCATCAAACAAAAGTCTGCACCATCTCAGGTTAGCAAAACTTTTTGGTTTGATGAACACAGCCGGACAATAATGTGATTTTGGAAGTGCATTTATTAGTCAAAGAACCTGTATGACATGGCATATAACAAATAATCATTTTATGCCCCATAAAATGTGGCATTTTTAGACATCGGTTTAGGCATCTTTTCAATTATTTACATCTAGTGGTCTTCCCATTGAAGTATTGAACAACCCCACCTCTTTCTGCACATATATTTGGTCGTTGAGCTGTTACCGGCTGAAGGTTTCTGGTGCTGAGAGGGGAATGACCACGATATGCCTTTTCTGTTTCTTTTTTCTTTATTTATTTTAAAGGTTAAAAGGGGAAATACCTGTAAATTGTGAGGTTTCTGTTCGAGCTATGTATGAGCAATTGCTGTCTGAAGTTTGGGGAGCTTGTGGGGTCAATGATACATTTTTGTTCTTTTGAGCAGAAGGGCAAGATGGTTGCCCAGATCTGAAATTCATGTGAAAGCTCTGCATGAGCTGTTTGTGGCTCAGACCCTGCTGGTGCTGGTGGTAAATGTACTAACCAATAAATCATCTCTGATTGTTGTCTCATTTGGAGACATGCAGTTTGACCTTGATTACATGACTGATCTTTCTTTGCAAGTGGACCTTAAAGAACTTCGGTTATCATTTATCAGTAAAAGAACTTCACTTATCGTTCTCTTGCTGTTGGCAATTGATGATAATTATATCTGGATACCATGAATTTGGTACTTTTAAATGAAGTTTCATGCATTTGATATTGATTGGGATTGGTCAAGTAGTAGTAGCACTAAGAACAACAAAATCTCGCACTTATTCATACACCGAAAAGCATATAATCCGACTAGAAAGACTTCTAGCAGACATGAATTTAATATAAATGTAATTATAATAACTAAGCGTTCATCTGAATTAGTTGGCATTGTCTATACGAACTCTTAGTCCTTTACGTTTTTTTATTAGCTAAGTCCGCATCGACTCCGAGAGGTTGAAGGTCTTTTAGATAACTTCCACTAGGGGAAGAAAACGTAGAGCATGGGAGGTTGTACCGCTAGTTCTTATGTGGGTAGTATGGAGAGAGAAATAGGAGAACATTTGATGAGGTTGGAAACGATTTTGTACATTTGAGGAATAGCCTTTTGTCTTTGATTGCTTTTTGGTGCACCCTTAAAGATTCCTATTTGTTTGGACGACAGGGTGTCTTTTGTAGAGAATCATATTTTGTTGTAGATTCTCTACCTTTTGGTATACGTCTTGTAATCAGGAATTCTTCCCAATGTCAGTAAAATTATTTACCTTATTAGAAAAAAAATCCATTTGTGTCATGTTAGGTCTGTTTCATCCCCTTTTAGCACCTTCAGTCATCCTAGTGTAGCACTTATGGAGCGGTGCATTTAGACATAACCACCTCGATGATCTTCTCTTACTTTTCCCCTGTTTGTGCTATTTGGGATCTCTGGATATGATCATTTATAGCCGTTCAATATTTTTTTACCACTCATCCATCTTAATATCCCCATTTTTGTGAAACTCAGTTTGTAGATATGTTTGTCCTAAGTGACCCAACAATATTGTTCTAACTTCTACAAGACTTACTTTTTACTTTGTTAGCTGTCCTACTATCTCATTGCATCTCGTAGCAGTCCTCCGGTTAAGGCATCTCATTTTAATTTATTTATTTACGTCTTCATCATCATGCTAGCCTTTTTTGGGGAAATTCGAGTTTTGTTTAGGTATCACAATTCTGTTTTATGCCGCTTCACCGTCTTTCTTCTTATGGAAGTGATGAGCGCAAAACTGGTGTATAAAACTTGGGCTCGCTAGTCAAAAATAGTATAGTATTAAATCGTCTCCGCAAGGATTGGTTTAAATAAATCTTCAGCTCAACACTATCCAGGATAATAAACCTTTGGTTTATGTTATTATCGACTACTAATAAAACTAAGATTATCGATTGTAAGAAACTAATGGCAATTTAATGACTAAGTAGGAACGATTGAATCTCAAGGTGAGAAGTAAGGGCTGTGACAAGATATGTGATCAACTATTATTCTGGGTAACTCTGTGTTAAGTTCTTTCTTAACTTCTATTAACTCCTTCGATTTCAACAGATGATTAGGCTACCTTAGGGATTCAAATTCTTCTTCCGAATGAATGAGAGTTCTCTTAACCAACCTAATAACAGGTCCTATGAGCATATGTACAAGTACAGTGAATGAATGATCTTTCGAAGAACGCCTCTCGACTATTCTTCTAAACTAGGTTAATTGATAACTCTCTAAGCTCATTCGATTACCTATGAGAGGCGTAAAATCAACCCAACAATATAGCACAATGCAAATTGCAGCAACACTTCTCTTTCAATTAAAGTAAAACCACAATTAGCCTTGCAATTCAATAATAACTCATTCAATGAATTCGGGCAATTAACATAGGGTAAAACCCAAAATAACAGTCAAATCACAACATCCGTCAATAATCCTAAAAAGGATTACTCCATAGTGGAGAAGTTATTCATCACAAGAGTATTAGAAGAACAAGAAGACATTACAATTCCCAATAATCCAACAAACTTTCGTTTTGTATGAATTGGATCAAGCATTTCCCGTCTCCGTTCTTTCCTTGCCTTCTTCTCTCCAAAAATTGCTACCTGTTTTTAGACGAGCTAGGCTTCATATAGGTCAAAAGGAGTCGCCTCCGAAATTACAAAAATAGGCTTGAGAAAAGTTTCAGGAATTGGACGGGCGTGGCCGCGCACCTGGAGGTGTGATCGCGCATATGGCCGTGCACCTCTGGCAGTGTACTGATTTACTTGCGCGCTCAAGTGCGCGTTGGAGGGGTCTCATGCGTGGTCGCGCACCTGGGTGAGCCTCCTGCTCAACTCTTCGTTTCTCCCGTTAAGTACACTATTGTCCGTTGATCTCCGAACACGATCCCAACTTAATCCTTGGGCTTTTACTCAGATTTCAAAGCTCCAAAATAGCTAGAATTAGCTACACAACATCATCGTAACTCGGAATCGCTCCTACAAGGCATAAAACACACACTCAGTGCAAAATAATACCATTTAAAGCTCAAACACTAGTAAAGTGCAGCGAATTAGAGTGCAATTAACGGCTAAAATACGCAATTATAGCCCACCATCAAGCTAAACTTGCAATTCATATATTCTATCTTACCTTTATCATTGTGAAAAGTTACTGTCTAGAGTACTTCACAGTTCGTGCTTTTCATTTACTTTCTCACTAGTTTATCAATTAACAAAATACATCTACAAATAACTATCCGTTAGCTCATCTATTACTAATAAAGTAAGGAAACACATGCTCAAAGTAGGTTTTAGGTGATTGGACTCTGATTGCAAAGGATATTTCTTACAGTTAAGTTGAATAAATGCTCTTCAATAACAAAAAAGGGTGAATAAATACAGCTAAGATATAATGCTCTTAGTAGGTTGAGGCACAAAAGTGAAGTCCTAAAGTGATCTTGGCTGTAATAGGGGAAAATGAAGTCTCTAATTGTCATATGTATCATGTGGTGTTTTGAGAAAGGGTGATATATGGAGAATATCAATTTTTTTTGTTGGAAGCTTTTCATATGATACGGTAAAGAAAACAGTTAACTGATGTCCAAATTGCTGCATTTGAGGGAGGCAAGAAAACATTGGTTGGCAGGTCTTCTGAATCTTATGATGAGATATATGTCTAGAGATTATCTAAATATCTTGATGTATGATGTTGAGAAAGCTGAAATAAAAGAGTAGTCGTCTATACAAAGCTGTTTTTGTCTCCGTGAGAAAATTGTACTCAGATTATCTCTTTACTGTTCTTTTTAATGGATGAGAAAGACGCAAAATCGTGACACCTTGCCATTTATTGAGCTTATGGGGACCATCTAAGTGAAATGATCTGATTTACATAGTCATCTATTGGTTGACATGGGCAGGTGAATAGGTCCCAAAAGTTTTAATTTAACTAATGAAAATTGTAACTAAGAAAATGAAAAAGAAAACTATGAATCAGCTTAGTGAATTCATCTCTTTGGTCCCTATTTAGAGTACAAACTATTCAGAATTTTTTTTGGCAACTGCCTTGATATAATCTTGTATCATTAACCTTTGTCCAGAGAGCGTTTTTGTGATACATGAGAACCAAGATAGAGCCATTAGCTAGAAAGCATGGAAACCTACTTTTGGGCTACATGTTTCCGTCCAAATATGGACACCAATCAAACACTACTGGGACATGCTTAAGACATTAACTTTTATGAATTTGTATGAGTCTTGTAATCCATCCAGCACATCACTGTACCAAAAACACAAATTAAATAACATACAAAAATCCTAAATCATTCATCCGTATCCTTGAATAACATACAGGAATCCATTTATGCCTTTATTCTAGAACGCCTAATTGATATTGAACAGGAAGAAGCAATTCCTGATCCCTAGCTACAAATTAAAAGTAAATTCTCCTTAGATTTTTGAACCCACCAATGAAACTTGGAATGATCCTTTTCATGCTATTTCAGCAAGATGTCACGAGTTCGAGTCCTATCTGATGACTAAGTCTAGTATTTAAGTGGAGAAGGTTAGAGGGACAAGCAATTATCCACAGAGTTTTGAAGCTGGATTTGTCGATTTTCAATATATTCTTTAACAGCAAAGATTCTGGACTTGTTGAGTTTAATATGCTCCTCAAAGGTTATTGAAACCCATGTTGAAAAACCTCCATTTCCGCAAGCCCTTTATCTCAGATTGTAACTTTTATGCACCCAACGAGTTAATTCCTTTCCAGAACCAGAATTCAGCTTTCTCCACATCCCAAATATACACAGGGAAGTTTAACAGCCATTTCATTACACTAATAGAACCCTATGTTCAATCAGGCTTTTACAGCTGCATTTCAGCTATATGTCTTTCCCATTCTTTAGCTTCTTCATCTGACATTTGGCTTTTATCATACGGGATCTGCTTACGTTGTTTAAAATCACTTCTATTCCTCAATAACGTTCATCTGCTTTTCAATAACAACCCTCTGTTTGGTACTTTGGCTACAATTGTTGATTCAGTGATGTGTTGGTTAAAAGGAAACAAAAAGAAATGGAAGAGAAGAAGAGTTGAATAGGAAAAGTAGATAAAAAGGGAGAATATAATCTGGGTGTCTCAGAGAAATTTTTTACTTCAAGGGCATCTGATTTGACATGTTTGCCCTACTCTCAATATAAGGGTCTTCAAAGCGCTTTAGAGCCCGTTTGGATTGGCTTAAAAAAAGTAGCTTTTAAAAGCCCTTTTTCAGTGCTGGAACTGGTTTTTATAAATAAGCAGTTATGCGTTTGGATAAAAGTGCTGGAGCTGAAAAAAAGCTGTTGAAATGTTTGGTAAACAAGTGCTGGTAAGCACTTTTTCTATTAAAATGACTGAAATATCCTTAAAGCTGTTAACACTATAAAGAAGCTTATTACTATAATATTTTATTTCAAACTTATTAATATAAATACAAAATAATTAATATTTTAACTGTTCACCTAAGATAATTTTTATAAATATAATTGTTGAACTCTTACTTTTTCACTTCTTTTAACCATGTAAATTTTTTATTTATTTCTTGAAATTCCAAGCTTAGGAAAATATATGAAATGACTATTACATTTTATTATTCTATTTCTTATTTGAACTATGTAAAATTCCTAATATTTAGGATTATTTTTCCTTCCTTTTAGGTTTAGGAGTCTTATTTCCTAACAAACTGAATTATTCATTTTAGGTATAGTTATTTACTATTGTTCATTGATAATGAAATATATATATATATATATATATATATATATATATATATATATCTTGAGTTTACATAATTTATTGACAATAATCACAAAAAGAAATGCTTTTTGAAGAATTTTGAAAGAAAAAGAGTGAACATTTTTAATATGTTTTGAACACATTTCTATTGAATTTTATTTCAAAGAAAACAAAAAACCTTTTTGATTTTGATCCTTTACATATTTTGAACAAACAAATTTTTATGTCTTATTAAAAAGTTAAGAAACTGAAATTAACGCAAATACTAGATAGTTGAACTGTTGTTATGCCAATAATTTTAGAATTCGAATAATAAAATACCATTGGCTAAAAGGGAAAAAAGAAATTGCCAATGAATATTAAAAGTTTGAGTTGGATATTATAGTTATTTCAAAAGTTTGTGAAGGACATTTTTGGAATAATGAATATTATTAGGGACAAGAGGGTAAAATACTTGGTCAAAGATAGTTGGCTTTTAAGCTGGAAAAAGAAAGTTAGGATCAGCCAACTTATGGCTTTTGGCTTTTTTTAAGCCAATTTTAACTAAAAATAAGTTGTTTTCTTTTTTGCCAAACACTCCCAACATCTAAAAATGACTTAAAAGCTGGTTTGACCGGCTTTTAAGCCAATCCAAACAGGCTCTTAATCTTGAGCAAACTTAATTCTTCTGGCATGCTTGTGCTGGAAAAAGTTGTTCTACTTTGACATCCTTTATGAGGGGTAAATGATCTTTATGTTGAATAGGACAAGTTTTGGCGAGTTCTCTCTCTTCTTTAAAGTTTAGCTTAAATTTAGGAAAATTCAGTACTTTTTATGTGCAAAAACAAGAGATGCTGATTTTCTTTCGGACTTAATTCCCTTTTTTTGTTTGGTCAAAAATCTTGCTTCACTTAACTCTCTTTCATAATTTCATACGACAGATCATCGATGTAGCTACTTCCCTTGCAAAAGTTGCTGATGTTGATCGGAATCTTGGGAATGAGGATGCAGCAATCGATGGATTTGAAGAAGCCATAAAAATGTTACAGTCGTTAGAACTAAATCCTGAAGAAGCTAGCCTTGAACAAAGGGTATTACTCATTTCTTCTTCATTTAATCCTTTTCGCGTTCGCTTTGAATATAGTCAGCAAAATGATTGTGCCGTTTCTCTTCTTGCTTGCAGCGGCTATTGATCCTCCAGTTCCTGAACAGCCAGATGGAAAAGAAACAACCTGTTTCAAGTGCCTGAATGAAAGAAGTCTTTTTCCAATATATCATCAAGGATAAACTGCTTGTGCTTTCTCTCCTACTGGTTTGAAGTCTCAGATACATTTCATCAGTGTGTAAATGCATCATCTCAAGTGATAAGTTCTGGCAGATTCCCAACTGCTATACCAGTGCCAAATCAGTTACAGTTTTCAATACCCCATATCACAATATCGATGGACTTTCATTTTCTCTTCTTTTTTTTTAAAATAAAATTTTTGGAGCAAATATTGATTCTTCCAGTTTCAGTAGTTAAATCTGGTGGTGCCTTAAGCTATTTGTAGGTAAAGGGACAATTAGAGTAAAATTTATTCTAAAAATCAAGTTCTAGTTAAATTGGCTTTTCTCTAGGAAGGAGGGAGGACTTGAGCAAACTACAAGTAACAGAGGTAGCAATGTGAAACAATTGTTAATGCCTGTGGTAACCTTGGTAATCATTTTATGTTATTGCTACATATCTTGTGGATATCTGAAAATAATGAACACAAAATATATGAGCAAAACAAGGAAACGGAGGGATGGAGTGTCTCTTGCTTTTTACATTGCAGGCTTGTGCAGAGGCGGACCCAGAATTTGATAATTGTAGGAGCACCGTGAAATTCAATATAAATTTACCGCTGCTCATAAAGATTGGTACGGGCGCCTATGCTAATATCTGACTATTTTTTAAGACATTTGCAAGTATATATATATATATATATATATACTCAGCTGAAAACTTTGAACATTCGTTTTTCTTGTTGTCCTAAGGGGCGTCATCGGTCCTTGATACTTGAAAGGAATAATGATAGGTTAAAGAGTGAAACTCTGGTTTCCAAGGTTAAAAGTAATTTGACGATCAATGTGACAATCAAATGGTAGAAACTTGGGGTATAAAATCCAAGCATAAACTTCATCATTTTTTTTGAAAACAAGTATGCGTGTACCAATATTAATGAGAATAAACTTTTTAATAACAATATAATTAATATAATATTTAAAAGATTTGTTTGCGTTATACCCCGTTCACTGTCTAGATTTAATTCTGAAGCCAAAGAATTTGATGGCTCCCTGTCTTGATTAATAAGAATAATGAACGTTGCATGACTCTTATAAAAACTTAAAACGATTCTCTTATATGTAAATGATTTTCTTTTGGTTGTTTAATTTGATTACTTCAGCTTACTTTTTAGTTGAAACGATATGAGGTGATTTTAATAGTTTTCAACTTCATAATAATTTTTCGGTATAGCAGTTTTTCTTATCGAGTGGGGCCAATCAGTCGTATAGCCATATACTTTGTGATCACTAAAATAATATTAATGGTTATAATATGTTTTACATTTACCTTCTAATAAATATTTTTCTAATATGTATGCAGTAAAAAAAGTAAATTGGCTGTTTTTTGTACTATCAAGTATATATATGCTTGAATTAGTTCATTGGTTGGGAAGAAATTGACAAATAAGGGTACTTTTATAATTATCAAAACTAAAGCTACATATCAATATGATGAGATTACTTCATATCAATAATTTTTTGATTGAGCAAATGGCCGATTGCTTCATATATTATTACTTCGTGTCTAGTCTTTAAGGCATGCTCCAAATCATATTATCAATAATATTTATATAATAATAATAATAATTACTATATTTAAACAAGTACACAATTATAAGAGTACTTCGTATTGAAACTGACACGAATTTGTTGCTTTTTCTAACTTCGTGTGGAATTTATAGTTCTTGTAAATAATGAAATATTTAATAAATAAATTTTAGTTAGTTTTAAGGTCAAATATTAGGAAAAGTAATATGACGAAGTTATAATTATGTTATGTAGTTGGAATAAGGAAAATATTTAAATAAGGTAAAATCTTGATTTATTTTAAAGTCCTAAATTTTAGGATTTCCTACATATTTCAAATTAGAAAAATTTATAATCAGATTATAAAGTCCTAAATATTAAAAAAAAATAATTAAATTACAAGATTGTCCAATATGAAATAGCATCTTAATTGTTAAACATTAATTTTTTCTATTACTAAATTTATAATAAAAATATTATTACAGTTAAGTAGAGCGTTGTATTTGATTTTGTTTATATTAATGTTAAGTTTATGAAATATTCTTGGTAAAAAGTAAGTTTTTACCTATGAAATCTCGTCTATGAGTGAGATAATAGCTTTTGATGATAATTCAAACTTTCCATATTTATATTGTATTTAATTGTCCATGCTCTGTAATTATTATATAAGCTAAAATCATAATGCAATATAAAGTCTCAAAATATTAGCATGTCTCGCATAGTTTAAATAAGAAAAGATTTAATTAGTAAAATAATTTAGATTAGTAAAATAGTTTAAAGAAGATATTAGAATACAAGAAAGCAGAAAAAATACAAAGAGACAATACATTTGATGTTAAGGAATTAATAAAAAGAAATAGAAAATTATCCATTTCCTAAATTGCCACATTGGTGTGGGAAAAGGTTAGGCTTCTGATTTCACAAAATCGTAATCAAGAGAAGAGTAATAGGGTAATATATTTATTATTAGGTAAACAGAATGTTAGATGGAGTTTCCAATATGAATACTATTTTCATTCATATTGCTTCCATCTACTCCAGTTAGATTCTTGCTGAAAAATATTAGTAAAACGTTTCAGTACATTAAAATCAGCAAAACAATTCATATATAACAATTCAGTATTTTAACTCTTTGAGCAGTGGCCAATTTGCACTCTTCCGTTGTTCTATTAAAAAATCTGTAGAATTTTCCGTAATAATTTTTTATAAAAAGAGAATCTTCAACAATAATGTACACAACTTTGTGGTGATATTTCCACAAAGACAAGCTTCAGAAAATGTACCACCCAGAGAAACTTCATCTATTTACCAAGTTAATCAGTAATATCAATATTTACCACCCCTCAATCGATAGGTCAAAGACAGAAATATAGTACCTGTTGTTAGTAGACTGTATTTGTAAAATAATTCTGGAAATATAAATGAATATAAACAGAAATGAACATAAACAGAAATGACATAAAACCAATTCGAGCCCACTGAATTCACAGTGTTTCCTTAAGGAATTTAATCCCCTCCTAGTATCCAAGGTTATGGATTATTTCCTCCCAGGATAGAACGAATTACACACTGGTGTAGTGGTACTTCAAACCCCAGCGTTTCAGCGAACACAAAGTTCGGTAGCAAATCACACTTACTTTTTGCTTTGTTTGATGCTAAAAGTATGCAGAAGAAGGAGAAGAAACTCAGAAAATCGTAGTTAAATTCTGAGCAGAATAGCGTTGTATTTATAGCCAAAGTTGGGCTGAAATCTGAAGAGGTGCAACTCTTCAGAATGGTTGTTTATGCAAAACGCCCACAACATAAATGCCATTACATAAATGGCCATTTACTCAACAATAAAGAGGAAAAATTGAAGAGGGTAGTTACTTTTCTGTTACCAAAACAGAAAAACGGATTGGATTTAATATTAATATTTAATATTAATATTTTGTTATTAAAACAAATATTTAATAACATTTCTGTTAATATTTTACTATTAACAAATAAATTTGGTCCAAAAAGTTAATCAATCAATCATTTGACCAAATCCAAATCCAAATCCGAATCCGAATTCCGAATCCGAATCCGAATCGATCCCGAGCCGAGCGAGCGACGACAGACGACGGCGCGAGGCTTGCCTTCTTCTCAACTCTTTAAGAGCTAGAAGAAGAGCAATTGCTTATATAACCCATAAAAACCTCTTTCCTCTTCCAATATGGGACAATGCCCATTTGCCAAGGGGGGGGAACTTAAAATTTCACTCAAAAATTTCATTTCCCTCCATTTTCCATTCACCCTCTTTTAAGTACTTTGGAATATATAATTAAATAGCATCCAAAATCCGACTACAATCCCCCACATGCTATCACAGGGGAATGGCGCTCATAATCACGGAAGTATGGCATGAAAAACTTGTGTTATTCGCAAGTAAGGAAGCACTTTGATAAGCAGGTTTCCTTGAACTTTCGTAGTGAACTATATGTCGGATATATCGATAATTCGTAGATTTGATATCGGAACGTCGAACAGTCGCATACCTAGGACCAACCACAAGCACACAACCAACCCTAAGCCAGTCTTTGGTTCTCAATTGTGTTTGTTTCAGCCATGAACCCGCCTCGGTTTTCATAAAGTTGCGTAGAGAACTGGCCATACAATTTCTCCCTTGAAGGCGGGCTAACCTTCACACTTAAAAAGGCGTGCCTAAACGTGTCATCCCGTAGATACACTCATTTGACTATACTCCCGATCAAATTTAGGAAAATCATTAAAAAGCCATAATGCTTTCCTTGGTATAGAACATTGTCTCATCAACGAGAATGACCAAATTTAGGTTGCATGTTGAACCGTCAAAATGACTTTGTTTTGATCTCCTTGAACCTAGATCTTGGGATCTCCACTTCTAGGTAGAGTTACCGCAACTATGACTTGTTCTCGGCCACAGTCCCGTCCCCTTGATGACTTTCTCAATACTACCTCTCTAGTTAGGCCTTTTGTAAGTGGTCCGACCACATCTCACTTGACGTTTACATAGTCAATCGTGATAATTCCTCTAGAGAGTTAATTGTCTAACGTTTTATGTCTCGCGTATATGGCGAGATTTTTTTACGTTATATCATAACGCTCCCAGCCCTTCCAATTGCCGCTTGACTTCACAATGTATACATATTGTGCAACGGTTTGGGCAAAATGGAAATATCTTCAGAATTCCGTGAGCCATTCAGCTCTTTTCACCGGCTTTTATCCAAGGCTATGAACTCAGCCTCCATTGTAGAGCGGGCAATACAGTTTGTTTTGGATGACTTCCAAGATACCGCTCCTTCACCAATAGTGAAATACATAATCCACTTGTGACTTGAATCAGTTAATCCGGTGATCCAATTTGCATCACAGTTATCCCTGCAATGAACCGCAGGATATTTATTGTAGTGAAAGCAAAGTCCTGGGTATGTACTAATACCGCCAAAAACTCGTTTTCATGGCCATCCAATGAGATTGGCCCTGGATTGCTCGTTATATCGAACTCAATTTAACTTATAGCACAAGCTATATCTGGTCGTGTACAATTCCAATGATGTACATTAGCAACCCAACACATGAGCATAATCCAATTGTGAATATGCTCCGGCCTTTGTTCTTTCTAATGCAAGATTCACATCAAATTGGAGTCTTTGCAACTTTTAAGCCCAAGTGCTTGATTTTTTTGCAA